AAATCAGCCCATTCCCAGAAACATACTGCGCTCCTCCAGAGGATGGACGCCTTGCGCCATCCACCTCAGTAGGGCCTTGCCATTGCCTGAGTCAGGGGAGGGGCGCAGCAATATATGTATATGCAGTGGGAGGTGGATATCAATAGAGGGAACTACAATTGTTGGAATTAAACATGTTTTGGTGGGCATGAGACATTTTCTTCTTTTACTAGCTTAATTTAGATCAATTCTCTTGTGATGGAACTTTAAAAAAAAAAATTAGAAGGAGCTGGGGCTGGGGCTCAGTGGCAGAGGGCTTGCCTAGCATGTGTGAGGCACTGGGTTGGATTCTCAGCACTGCATATAAATAAATAAAATAAAGGTCCATTGACAACTAAAAAAAAAAATTAAAAAAAATATTAGCAGGACGGAGGCCATGCTGGATGAATCTCTGGTGGAAAGATTGTTCCGGATGGTTAAGTTCACATGAAAAGTAAGTTGTAAAGATAACTTTCAAGGGGTGGCAGAAGCGACTGTGAATGAAAGAAGGGAACGAGGTGAGTGGGTGTGGAGGATGACGCAAAATAGAAAAGAACCCCTTCCCCACCTATAAAGCACTTCTTATTCTTATCCCCTAACCCTCAAGCCTCTGAAAGCTCTGAATGGGGTTTCACGAATGGAACTCACGCTGATTATGCACATAAGGGCATTCTCCCAAAATAAAACCAATGGAAGAAAAGCTTAGATACGTGGTTGTGTCTAGCAGGATTTAGCCTTCGGAGAGAAAGGCTGGGATGGACAGAGCAATTCCAATTTAGAACACCTATAAGGATAGTAAACACTGGACAGTGAGGAAAATGGCGTGGTTAGGTAGTAAGAGATGACATTTAAACAGAACGGATATTGTTTTTTTTTCCAAGAACAATTCTTCCAATTTAGGGTTTTGTGTTGAGACGAAACCAAACGCCTTAGCCAGCTGCAGACTCCCCGCAGAGGAGTGACTGATTCAACAGCTGGAGGTTAGTCAGGACTCTAGGATGTACCCCAGACACGGGGGCAATGGTTTCCCAGGCTTACTGACAGGGACTCATTTCTGACTCAGGCGCGCGTGTCTGCTCGTCCAGTCCGCGCGCGTTCAGCTTGCGAACCGCAGACGATCCCTCCTCTCCGACGGGTAGCGAGCACCGCCTACTGGCCCTCCGCGGCTCGGCCTCGTGGCCCCACCCCGGGACGGAAGGCGCATGCGCCCGCGCCCCTCTTTCACTCCACCCCCATTTAGGCTTCTCGCGACATCTGCTCAGCCGCGGCCCTGAGTCTCGCGATAAAGGCTTATTGTCTCGCGGGAGCGCGTCTGGTAGACGGGCTCTCGGGAGGCCCCGGCTAGGAAAGAGGAGTTGCATGTGTCGCTTCAGCTGGCGGGAGCTGCGGGAGCGGCGGCGGCGAGCGCTGTGCGACCTCCTGGGTAACGACCCCTCCACTTCTTCGGCATCCCAGCGCTGGTAGTGAGCGTGGGGGAAGCTGAGGTGCTACCTGGAGGAAGGGGGCCGGGCCTGGCCGTGCGTCTCCACCCCCGCCCACATGGGTTCTTCTGCTATCCCCAAGATCGCCGGTTCGCCTGAGACCTGCTCGCCCTTGCGCCCTCAGCCCTTTTGCAGTCTGCCCCTTCCTTGTTCTTCTCCCATTTTCCGCACTCTCCTCAGGCTCTGGCCATCCTGCCCCCTCCCATCTCCGTTCCTGATCGCTTCTCTTCCCTTGGCATCTTGCTGCTTCCACAACCTGCCTTTGGACACCTGGTGACCCACCTCCTCTTCCTAGTTTTTTCCAGCCTCTCTCCATTCAACTGCTTTGTAGTCTAATTCTAACTGCAGTTTGCATCTCTCCCAGGTCCCCCTCAGACCTTTTGCTCGGTCTCTATTGAGGTCATACACCCCATTCTTACCCCCTCAATTGCTTCTTTTTCTCTAGCATCCCCTCTTCCCCATCTTTCATGGTCCATTCGCTACGTACTTCACTATAGACCTGTGGACAGTGTGAATGAGCCTGAAATTGCTTATATTTTATGAATAATGCAGCTTGTATCCCTCACTTAACAGTACTGAAATAGCTTTGGAATGAGGGGACATGGAGGAGGAGGAGGAAGCGTTCCCATACTGTTTCTCTGGGGTCTTGGTTCAAAATAATGTGTTATTTTCCTTGCTTACAGGTTTGTGAAATGGCTACTGACATTTCTGAATCCAGTGGGGCTGATGGCAAAGGAGATCCAAGGAATAGTGCCAAGTTAGATGCTGATTATCCACTTCGAGTCCTTTACTGTGGAGGCAAGTGTTGGAATGCAGAAAACGGGTTTTACTTGCTGTATTTTTATTCCTTGGTAGTTTCATATTTGAACTTTAAGTTTTTATGTGCTGTCTTTGTCATTTAATGAATCCTGAATTGAGAAGGGGCCTGGTGAGGAGGGAGCCTAGGTTAACAGATATCTTTATCCGAGTGGTTTGTGACATGTTACTTGACCTGGAGAAGCTTACAGTCAGTTGGAATAGAAATATGCAAATAGGTTATTTCAGCCTGATGTTTTATGCTAGTTGCTATTCTGGCTATTAAAGGAGACCATTTGGAACATACCAAGTCTTAAAGGATGGTGAAGAATGGCAGAGGAAGTCAGGAAGGGCATCATAGATGAAGTGAACAGCTATGCAAGGAAAAGTTGATGCATGTGTGTGATCTGAGCATCTTTGAATTAGTATATCTTATAGTATAGGGAAGTGTCAGTTAAGGACTAGAGGAGGCTAAATGGAATGATAGACAATAGGATAATTAGTGAAAGTCTTCTTGCTTTGAATAATAATATATGTATTAGATTTCCCCTTTGAATATTCTCCAGATAGAAATATTTGTGAATTGTAAATGCTCTATTTTATTAGTGTCATAGGAAATTTAAGAAAAATTTCAGGATATGGAACAGTAAAGAAGCCAGGTGTTGTGGCAAACACTTGTAATCCCAGCAGTTTGGGAGGCTGAGACAGGAGGATCTCAAGTTCAAAGCCAGTCTTAGCAATTTAGTGAGGACCTACACAAATTAGCGAGACTCTGTCCCCAAATACAAAATAAAAACAGACTGGGAATAGTTGAGTGCCTTTGGGTTTAATCCCAGGTTACCCTGACTCCCTGGCCCTGTGGGGAGGAGGAAAGGAAGAAAAAAGAAGAAACAGAAAGGGAAGGAGTAAATACTGTTTTTTAGAAAATATTCTTGAGGACTCACTAGGTGCTTTGTAATGTTTTAGGTGTTGGGGACTGAGTAATGAATAAGTTAGAAAGGTTCCTTGTTCTCATGGACTTTACATTCTGTGAGAGTAATCCAGACCTCATTCAGAATTTAAGTACTGTGGAAGGAGAAGTGATGTCATTTGAGTCATTAAATGGCTTTCATAATAAAATTAACGTAGAATACCTCAGCAAGAGGTACTAGGCTGGGGAACTTTTTGTAGGGCTGATTGAGTTTTGTTATGATATTTTTCTCATGTATTTATATTTTTTGCCTTCAGAGTCATGAATTAGGGTTTACATTCTGATTCTAGCACTTACCAGGTATGTGTCCCTGAGCAAATGAATTGATTTCTGTAAGTTTTAGAGCTCTGTTTCTAAGATCTATAAAATGAGGAGGAAGACTACATTTTAAGTCAGATGATTCATATAAAGCACCTTTTACCACAACCAGTAGTACAAGATCTTAGTTTACTAATACTGCTGATGATTATTAGTATTAGAAAAGTATACTAGTTCAGTATTTTCTTTATCCTTATTTGTCAGATGTAGTTAAAAATTGTTGTAACCGAGTGGGTGGTACACATCTATAATCCCAGCTACTCAGGAGGCTGAGGTGGCACACATCTGTAATCCCAGCTAGTCAAGAGGCTGAGGCAGAAGGGTCAAAAGTTTGAGACAAGCTTGGGCAACTCTGTCTCAAAAATATAAAAGGCTGAAGATGTGGCTCAGTTTTTCAATTCCCAGTGCCAAAACAAAACAGAAGAAATGTTCTTTGCTTTGTAGTTAATCAAACCTAAAGCTTTATAAAATGCACTATTATTTTAGACCTAAGAAAGAAAAAAGATACTCATTAGATTGAGAAGATAATTATAAGATTAAAAAATTAGAATTCATTGATATATAGGATATGAAACCCATACTATTAAATTGCTTATGTCACTTCTAAGGTGTCTTTTGAAGAACTACACTAAATATTCAGTCTTCCCCACTGATAATTTGTATTGTTGAAACTCCCTAACATTTTGGACAAAGGTTTATTTTCATTTCCCTCTCTACTTTGTGTTGATATTGCAATACAATATTAGAATGAGGAAAAGGGTTTATGTATGGTTGTGAGAAGTACTTAGGGAATATTAAATGCTGAATTAAATGGTATTGACTTGTAAAAAATATGAATTAGGAGTTTAGGAGAGGGAGGGATCTTGTTCAGAGACAAGTAGGGAAGTTTTTAAGGAACTAGGATTTGTATTAAACCTTAGCTGATAAGTAGAACTTACATGGAAAGGTGAAGGTATTCTTAAGTACAGTATGATGGTGGGCTGGACATGTAGTTCAGTGGTAGAGTACTTGCCTAGCATGTATATAAGCTCTGGGTTCAATCCCTAGTACTGCAAAAAAACAAAAGTGGTAAAAAAGTAAAAAAAAAATAATAATAATAATAATAATTTTTTTCAGTTGCAGATGGATATAATACCTTTATTTTATTTCTTCATTTTTTGTTTTTGGGTACCAGAGATTGAATTCAAGGGCACTCAATCACTGAGTCACATCCCCATCCCTATTTTTATTTTATTTAGAGACAAGGTCTCACTGGGTTGCTTAGTGCCTTACCCTTGCTGAGTCTGGCTTTGAACCCGAGGTCCTTCTACCCCAGCTTCCAAGCTGCTGGTATCCCAGCATGTGCCACCATGCCTGGCTATTTTTTTTTTTTTCAATGTGGTACTGAAGATGGAACCCAGGGCCTCACATGTGCTAGACAAGTACTCTACCACTGAGCCACAACCCCAGCCAAAATGGGGTAAAATTAGTATGGTATATTCAGGGGAGAGGGAGGTGAAAGAGCTGATTGGAGTAGAATAATG